TGATTGAAATTGATTATTTTATAACTTCATTAGTTATTTTTTGTCAAACATCAAGTACATCTTATCAGAAACAAGTTACTCAATTGTGTGTGATCTCGGCCAAAGTATCTAAACCCGTTCATCATTACATCAAATATTTGCTCTAGCGTCAGCAGTCCTTAGCGTGAGCAGTCCTTAGAGTAAGCAGTCCTTAGAGTGAGCAGTCCTTAGAGTAAGCAGTCCTTAGAGTAAGCAGTCCTTAGAGTAAGCAGTCCTTAGAGTAAGCAGTCCTTAGAGTAAGTACCGGCACTCTAGAAATGCATTTACATCCTGTTACTGTACGAAAATTGTATAAACATATCAGGTATTTTTATTTTTTTATTTTTTAAAATGTCCTGGAATTTTGTATTTTCACCTGGAATTTTTTTTTACAGATTTGGTGCAGGAACCCTGTATAAAGTGCATTACTTTGACTTGTATGCATGTTTTGTCAAATGTTCAGACCCACACGGACCATATCTCGATGTTAAATTTTATAAAGGATTTAAAAAAAAAACTTTTTAGGGGTTAATTTAAACATAAATTAAAGGGATGGAATCAACTCTGATGCCCATCAAGGCAACTATTCTTTAGGAGGATAAAAAAAATCCTCAACGACTCAACCTAGAGGCCTGCTATCAGCTGACTTGGCATGGGATTAAGCATTAGGATGCTGTCCTAACACAATTTTAAAAATGGATGTGTTCAGATTCTAGGAATGGAAGAAGGGAAAAAATGAAAGAAATGAATAAAAACTTTGAGGTACTTAATATTAAAATAACACAGGGCAAGACGATACCTTTTGCTTGTTTTTCCTCTTCAACCACACTACAGTTGTGGCCCCTGATTAAGGAATGCGACAAATTAATTCTAATGTTAAAGATTGCTACAGCGTGACATGCTAATGTACAGATCACACAGTGATGTGGAACAAACTGGAGGAACTGATCTCGGGGTACAGTGAAGGTGCTCTTGTGATCTGGTCTAGTGTATACTAATTATTGTGATAAGGTGAAGCTGATATAAAGAAGTGCATCATCTGAGCGGATCTTGTGCTGCTCCTTGCATTCTATTTCTACCCTTTTGACACACCATCAAAGAGCAAAGTTAGACAAATACTTAAAGTAGCTTGATTTGATCATTTAACAAAATCGTGACATCAAATTGAAGATTGACTGTTCATTAACAAAGTTGCTTCTCACCTGACACAACATGTTTAATTTATATTGAAAATTGTTCAACTTTAAATTTTCAACTCAGTTGAAATTATTCACTTCACTTGGCACAACTTATAAGTACTTTCTTCCCACGCACAATAATAGCATGGAACCTCCTGGCCAATGCCACTGTAAACTCGACATCGGTCGAAAGCTTCAAGGCTGTCCTGGCATCAGCTAGGAGCTATTAGACTAGCAACATCATTCCCCCAACCGTTGCCAGTATATGGATGCAGCAACGAACACTACCGATACCAGACCTTGTTTAACATGATCATTAGGGGATTATGTATATATATCTCTATACCTTGGGCCAAATTACTTCCACATTATATATTGTCACAGATACGAGATAATGATTTACAATGGAGTTAAGTAATGTGAGAATTATCACTTATAATAGATGAGTATGGGCACTTGTTAAAAACTAACCAATCAGAGAAGAAGAAGAAAGATGGAGACGAAATGGTGGCGGTTATTAAGTCCTTATTATTTTATAAGATTTGGTCATAGTGATATTTTTACAAAGTAGATACGTTTACAGAGTCGCTATATTCGTTTTCGGATCAGTAAGTTCAGCATGAGTATTTGCTCGTATTTCAAGTTCAAGTATTAACTATTATCATTATTGTGATCATGAGTTAAGTATATTCAAATGGAAAAGTGGGAGAGAACGCAATCAGATAAGGTAGAAAAAATATGTGAAACAAAGTATGGGAAACCCTGAAAAAAAAAGGATGCAGTAGAGCAAAGAACGTGTCTGCAAGAAGCCTTCTGCAGTGAACCAACAACAGTAAAAACCCACATAAAAATTCAAACACTTATGCAGTGGCTGAGAGTGCAGCAAGAGGACACTAGAGTGCAGCAAGAGGACTCTAGAGTGCAGCAAGAGGACACTAGAGTGCAGCTAAGAGTTTAGTGTAATGTTTGTATTGTTTTTCACTGTTACCATTTATGACAATGTTAAAGAGGGTCAATGCAATAAACAGACAACATGTCCAAGTTTGTCTAGGTAACTGCTTTTTAACTTGTGTTTGACAGCGCAAACCAAGATGAGATCAGCGAAAATAACAAGGGCGACACCATCAAGGCCTCACAAATTCATTGTTTTTTAAATTCCAATGCAGACTGGCAAAAATTTCTTCACCAGACGTCAGAAGAAGAAGAAGAAAAAAAAAACCATTTGCTTTGTTTTAAAACTTATTTATTTACTGAACTGACAATCCAATACATTAACAATTGGAGTTCATATGAAATCAATACCCGGTACAAATAAGAAGAGCAATATGAATGAGGTGGGATTAAACATAAATGATCATCTTTAAAAATTATCCGTAAACATTCCCCACACAAAAAAGAAGAGATCAAACTGATTCATTCGAATTAAAATAAAGAATAGAAAATATTGAATGATGTAAATGTACGTGTTTTCTGTGCTTGAAACTAGTGGAATTTCTTCACAACCATTTGTCACACACGTTCATGTTGGCAAAGGTTTGGAACCAACATGTCACAACAAGTGGTCAGTTAGTTATGGCTACAAATTTCAAGAGATGAACATAATAGAGGGAAGCAAACTTTGCAAAAAAGGGAGAGAATGCCTTCAGGTTGGGTAGAAGTAAATAAGGGGGGAGAAAATATTTCATCTTTAAGTGAATCTGGCATATTTTGCTCCATGATGAAATCTTTTTATCATTTCATTGATCAACAAAACAATAGAAAAAGAAAAGCTTTTATAAAAAATAAATAGGGTTATTTCTACCTATTGTGTAAAGCAATTCAAACGTTGGTGTAAAATTCAAAATACAGTGGAACCTCTCATAATGAGTAATTCGCATAACAAGCAAAAAAATGTAAAGAAGTTGCTCCCTTAACGAGCGACATTTCGCATAACGAGTTACGCAGAAAGGGAAGTCCCTTTTTCCTGAAATTCATTTTTGAGCCGGGACTTCCGCTCCGATGCATTAGTCTGAGTTTAGCTCTCGGTCTGTTAGCGTATTGTTTTCATGTGTGATCACCAGTTTTTACTAATTTTGTATTTAGACAGTATTCGTAATTTTTTTATGTGCAAAGTATAATAACCTGTGTTAAAATGTCTTCGAAGAAAAAACCACACGAAGACAATCATAAGAGAGAAAAAATAACTGTTGAAATGAAACGTAAAATCATTGAAAAGCGAGAATAAGGTTCAAGGTGTGAGCGTGGCTAATCTAGCGCGCACATACAATCATCTACGATCTGCACTATTCTCAAGAATAAAAACAAAATTTAGGAGATGAATGTTTCATCTTCACATCGTTGCTTGCCTCAAGATGATTAACAAGGCTTGGGAAGGAGTTACCAAGAGGACCCTCACTTCTGCTTGGAAAAAACTTTGTCCAGAGAGTGTTGTTGAATGTGATTTTGAAACAGTACCTGTGGAGTCTAAAGTTAACGAGATTGTGTCATTGGCCAATATCATGGGACTCGAGGTGGACAACAACGATATTGAAGAGCTTATGAAAGAGCACAGTCAAGAGTTGACCACCGAAGAGCTTATGGAGTTGCATCGTGTTTCACAGCAAGAAATTATGGAGGAGAGCTCATTAATGGAAGAGAAAGTAGCAGAGTAACAATCTTCTAGTGCAATAAGAGAAATGCTGAAAGCATGGGAAACTGTTGCATCGTACATTGAGAAGCATCACCCTAATATTCGTGGCTATTCGTGCTACAAATTCATTCAATGATAATGCTGTGACACATTTTCGTCAAATTTTGAAGCGTCGGCAAAAACAAAAGTCTTTAGACAATTTGCTAGTTAAAAAGGATTAATTATTTGTCATAAATTCATATTTTTATTTACGTTTTTTGTTTCAAATCTAAATTGTATTCCAAGTTGTTACACTCCTTAACAATTCATAAGTATTTTTTTTTGGAATAAATGTTAATAACAATTTTTGAAAAAAATGAGTTATTTTTTCAATGCTACAAGGAAATTCCAAACCTGTCAGCCTGGTCATTTGCGCTGCCAGGTCTCTGGCAAAAAGCAGTAGGAGGAAGAAAGTGAAGCCCAGTTCTTGAGAACCCTTAAATTTTTGTTATTGCTAATTGAACAGATTGTAAAATTTTTACTTTATTGAATTTGTAATTGCTTTTTTGTGGAATACTTGTTGCGGCCCAGTCTCACTCAGACTATGCCTCCTGCAGCCCCCCGGATGATTTGAGTTTGAGACCCCTGAACTAGACGATTGGTACGATAGGTTAGGTATATGAGCATTATGTCATTCAGCGTTGTTCAAACTCTATCACTCGAATTCTACTCAAATACTTGATTACTATCTTCTTTTATATTCATCACAATGATTTCTTTTAAAACATTTATTGATGCATCAATGAAACTGATCAGATAACAACAATGGGTTTAAATCTCATTTATAGAATCAAAAGAAAAAGTACAAAAAACTGTTACATGAGGAAAAAATAACTTCAATAAGATAGATAAAAACAAATATAATTATTTCTGTTCACAAAAATTGAAAGAGCTCACATTTAGTGCAGGCTTTAATAACAGAGTTTTTTTGTAACTGTAGGAGAACTAAACTAAAATTGCTGTGTGCTGTCCTAACAAAAGGATTTAATACAATTGTAAATATAATCTTGGCTCAGTTAGCGAAAGAAAAGATAGAATAGAATGACATTTTCTTACACATAAGAGCATGCATTGGTTCATCTTGTCAATTGTCACTGTACTGCCCCTGCAAAAAAGCTCTGCACAGCTTTAATGAATTAGATGGCTGATAGTTGTCGCCTCTGCTGTTCGGTCAGTTCAGGATGCCAGAAGTCCACGATCAGGACAAAACGGAGTTCACAGCCCTCGTGCCAGACTTCATGTTCAAAGGAATCATCAAATATGAAGAACTCACCTTGTTTCCAAGTACTAGATGGAAGAATAGATGAAATCATCAATTTTTTAAGAAGGTGAAAACAAGAAAATATTAACTGTTAAAAGCTTTTTTTTTTGCGAAAATACTTTTGTGGCTGAATTTCTCATGTTTTTTAAAGGAAATTTATTCATTTTAAAAAAAAATGGAAAAACGTGGCAAGTTACCGGTACACGTTTCTTTAAAGCACAACCCCTTAAGGTTATTTTGTTCTCTTTCATGTTTAAAAAAAAGCATTAAAAATTATGTAAAGGTTTTTCGTAGTTAAGTAACAAGTTAATTTATTAAAAAATATATCCTAAAAAAATATAAGGAATATAATACATTCCTTTATATGTGAAAAATATCTTACTTCTCTGAAAAACTCTTATATAAAAAAAGACATTATTCTTTGGAAAATATATATGAGTTTTACTGAATCACGGTTCACTGCTAGGGGTAATCCTCAGAACTTACATATCTGATTGCATGATTTTTCAATTTTTGGGATTAAAAAATAATATTCAAACTCCTTAAAGTTACAGATGATTTAAACTTAAAGTCTCAAATTTTGTGCAGGTTTCTTTGTTGTTTTTTTAAACAGGATTTGTAAGGGTCTGTGTACAACGATTTAGCCGTGGGATTTTGTTTTGTATGCAAACGATCAGAAAACGATCAGAAAACTATCAGACTATTGAGACGAACCTAGTTTCATTCATGACTCGTCTAACTGGACCTTCAGGTACCACCAGACCAAGGTGAGCTCTGATTCGGCAGTTAGTTGGACCAACGTGAGTCCACACATGGAGGCCACACATGGATGCCAGGACTCATTACAGAAAACTTGACCTTTAAAAAAAATAGTGGATGGTTAGTCAACACTTCATGTACTTATTCATTTTAAAAGCATGAGCCATTATTGGTTTGCGCATTATACATTTGACTTGTCAATTGTTGTTTTTTTTTCCTTGTTCTGATTTTTTTCAGTTTCTGGACATATATTTTTGGGAGGGATATTACAGTACAGCTTGGTGCTATCAATGTGCCACAAGATGACCCAAAGCATTTGATTTTGTACTTTTGTCAACATCCATAGAAAAAAAGGGGTGGGGAGGGGGGGGATTCAAGTATTTTATGTTGCCGAGATTTCAACCCCGTACCGCCCAGCAAACTTGTCCTGTACCTTATTTATATGCCACACAGAGCCGTAATGGGGTTCAACTAGAACTTTCATTGCCCCATGATAACTTTCTCTTTCAACAAACAACAAAAAAACTTTCAATGAAGGACAAGGACATTGTCAAAATCTCTTAACTTTTTCACATAATTTTATAAATAAATACTTGAATCTGAATGCAGTAGCTACGTTTAATTTTCAAAATCTAAAATACTCTTAAAAAAAAAACAAGATTAAACAATAAAAGAAAATAACATTCATATAAATTTACACCAATATTTGTCATTTTCAAATATTTATCTCACAATGACAACTCATGTTGTCTTGAATAAAAACCCATCTAAAATTAAATGTTTGTTCCAAATTTTGTGTTTTGTAACATAAATACAAGGTAAAATTTGATTTACTCAATGAAAAAATGGAGTTCAATTTTAACTAAATCAAGGTTCTTAACACTTTTGCAGCGTTGCACCCCCTTTTGATTTCAAAACATTTCTCAAACCCTAATATCGTTTGTATTATCCAAATATTTTTCAAGCAACCCCTACTATAAAAATGTTAATAAAATTTCAAATAAAACTGTTTTCTGGGTTGTCCCACACCCCAAGCTGTGCAGCAATATGGTTAAGACCCACCGCTCTAAATTAACAAAACAATGATTTTTACAAAAAAATAAAATCAAACCTGTCCCCACTTGCAACCATGTGCAGCTGGTATTTGGTCAATCAGTGAAAACGTCTTGTGCGCTTTGGCACAATAATCAGGATTTTTACGACCTATGCAAAATATGAAAATGAATTTTTTTTAATGAATTTACTTTTTTTAAGTCTGTCTTTGAAACTTAGCTTGGGGCAACAGAAACAGACTCCAAGAGTCTCAATCAATGTCTTAAACATGACACTTTTATTCTCACAAAAACACAATCAAGGGCAATAACCCACGTACCTTGTTGATACGGAGTACACTGTTTTCAATCACCAGTTTCTCGAAGGTTTTCCTCTTCTGGCAAGAAGGATCCCGTCCTGGTATCAAGCTGAGCTATAAATATATGCGTGTGTGTATTTATTTATCGCTGATGACTTTGTACAATGATTCATTCTGGAGACCAGACAGATAAACACAGAGAAACATATTATGTCACTGACCGTCACACTTTTACAAGGCTTCACCCTCACGCAAAATGAGATGATCCTATAAAAATTCCTGATTGAAGAACTTTCATTGGATCAGAAACCCTATACCATATTTCCCCTAGCCCAGAAGTTTATGTGAACACACACTTTGCAATTTAAGACAATTTAACATTTGCTTCAGTGGTAAGAAAACAATTTGAAATGGGAAGCTTCTCTATTGTAAAAAAAAAAAAAGTTCCTTGGTCTGACAAGACATTAAGAGAGGATTCAATGTACCGTGACATATTCTTGATAGCCAGTTTGTTCCGCTGTTCACCACGGCCGCCCGGTCAAACCATCAGTGTTGTAAAGTGATCATTACCAGGGAGACAGAAACAGACTTTTTTTTCACCCTCCTCAAAGTTGCATCATGCCTGATGGGGAAAATTTAAATAAAGTTTGATGGTTAAGTTATGGGAGAGAAAAATTATCCGGAAAATATATGGATGGGAAATACGAAAAAACTAGGAATTGTATAGTCTATGTCAGGATCCCACGCTAGTGGCAGAAATAAAAAAGGGCAGGCTACACTGAGGTTTTAAAAGTGATCAGGATAAAACAGATTTAACTTTAAAAAACCCATTGTCTGGATTATTGTCAAGGACCTGTAGAGATATTAGTAAAATGTATGTGCACTGAAGATATCATTAACTTTGATACATGCTTTAGCACTCAATACGTCTTTTTTTTAAATGCAAAGGTTTCAATAAAAAACCAAATTGTTGTAGTTGTAGGTTTCAGCATTAAAAAAAAAAAAACAAAAAAAAAACCATTTTAAGGCTTCAAACAAGATTTGATCATCTATTCAACATCATCATTTTTCTTATGAGTTCCTATTGGACACATTTTCACGGCCTCTAGTGATAAATTTTGCTTTAGCACTCAATACTTCTTTTTTTTAAATGCAAAGGTTTCAATAAAAAACCAAATTGTTGTAGTTGTAGGTTTCAGCATTAAAAAAAAAAAAAACAAAAAAAAAAACCATTTTAAGGCTTCAAACAAGATTTGATCATCTATTCAACATCATCATTTTTCTTATGAGTTCCTATTGGACACATTTTCACGGCCTCTAGTGATAAATTTTAGTTCTTACCAGCTTTTCTCTCATCTTCCCCCAGCCTCATCCAGCACACCGGACCTCCTTTTTCTCTATGCCTCATCCAGCACACAGCGGTCCCGTGTTCTCTCAGCCTCATCCAGCACACAGGGGTCCCGTGTTCTCTCAGCCTCATCCAGCACAAAGGGCCTCCATGTTCTCTCAGCCTCATCAGGCACACCGGAACTCCTTGTTCTCTATGCCTCATCCACCACACCGGAGCTCCTTGTTATCTCAGCCTCATCCAGCACACCGGGCCTCCATGTTCTCTCAGCATCATCAGGCACACCGGAACTCCTTGTTCTCTATGCCTCATCCACCACACCGGACCTCCTTGTTCTCTCAGCTTCATACAGCACACTTGGGGTTCGGTGTTCTCTCAGCCTCATCCAGCACACCGGACCTCCTCATTCTCTAAGCCTCATCCAGCACACCGGATCTCCTTGATCTCTCAGCCTCATCCAGAACACCAGGCCTCTGTGTTTTCTCAGCCTCATCCAGCACACCGGGCCTCCATGTTCTCTCAGCATCATCACGCCGGACTTCCTTGCTCTCTCAGCCTAATCCAGCACACCGGACGTCCTTGATCTCTCAGCCTAATCCAGCACACCGGACCTCCTTGTTCTCTCAGCATAATCCAGCAACCCGGGTCCTGTGTTCTCTCAGCCTCATCCAGCACGCCGGGCCTCCATGTTCTCTCAGGATCATCCAGCACACCGGACCTCCTTGTTCTCTCAGCCTCATCCAGCACACTGGGGTTCCGTGTTCTCTAAGCCTCATTCAGCACACTGGAGTTCCGTGTTCTCTCAGCTTCATCCAGCACACTGGGGTTCCTTGTTCTCTCAGCCTCATCCAGCACACTTGGGGTTCCGTGTTCTCTCAGCCTCATCCAGCACACCGGACCTCCTTGTTCTCTAAGCCTCATCCAGCACACCTGGCCTTTGTGTTCTCTCAGCCTCATCCAGGACACAGGGCCTCCGTGTTCTATTGAGTCCTCCACTTTGTCATTTGCCATGGGGTTCCAATCTAGGGACTGTTTAGCTCTGTTTCGGATGCCTTTCCTGTGAATGTGTCCTACCCATCTTCATTTTTTTCCCAAGATTTTCCCAACTAAACATCTATTCAACATATTTCTGTATGGTGCAAAGTATATTTTCTGAACAACAACAACCAAAAAAAAAAAATTTAGAAATAGTTAGATCATCATAATATGATTAAAGATTGTGTTTCTTTTGTCAACTTTTTAGAAACGATTCCACAGTAAATGACAGTGGTGCTTACTTCTTTGAATATGTCCCTGGCTCTGTCATTCTGGCCAATCATCATGTAGTGGTGCCTACTTCTTTGAATATGTCCCTGGCTCTGTCATTCTGGCCAATCATCATGTAGTGGTGCTTACTTCTTTGAATATGTCCCTGGCTCTGTCATTCTGGCCAATCATCATGTAGTGGTGCCTACTTCTTTGAATATGTCCCTGGCTCTGTCATTCTGGCCAATCATCATGTAGTGGTGCCTACTTCTTTGAATATGTCCCTGGCTCTGTCATTCTGGCCAATCATGATGTAGTGGTGCCTACTTCTTTGAATATGTCCCTGGCT